AGTAATTATTAATTAACTACCTACCTAATTTTATTAAAATAACAATTAAATTAATTGTATATTAATATAGTCAATGTGAGTACTGAGTAAGGGAAAAGTATATTTTTGTTACATCCAGTGTTTGCTTGTATCAAAATGTTCAACTAAATACATACCTATGGTTGTTGATGAGGTCTTCACTACCCAATGAGTCATTAACACCCCAATGAAAATGTAATTGAGTAAATCTGTAGGTTGGAGTCAGTGGACCTCCACTGATCATTACTGGTGCAGAATAATTCAATTGTAAGACCACTGTAAATACATATTTCAAACCAAGGTTTAACTTTTTTATAAATTATTAACTAAAGGTAAAACTGAATGTTCCTATATTCTGTTATTCATATACATATTATTTTATTTAAGATATACAATTGTTCAATAGCAAATAAGCTACCTATATGCTGTAAAGAAATTCTTATTRTGAATTTAAAAATGTTCTATCATCAATATTATGTAAAATGATGAGTAGAAAAATTATTTGGCCTATATGAAACTATAGATAAATTTATATGATACATCCATACAGCTATTATAGAATACAAATTTAGTGTTACATCTGTTATCAACAACATTTTTAAAGTTCTCCAGTATATATTTGGAAAATGTGTTTAAATTAAATTATAACCTTTATGTCATTTGTTGTTTCATGTTTTTATAAGTATAGAATAATGATCAATTTTTAATAGCAATTTTTATATAAGGTTAAATCCTGGTCTAATATTAGCATGTTATATAAAAATATAAAATAATAACTGAAGTAATTTACTGTCATAGACCTTAATATACTAATAGTATAAAGTCTATGAATTTAAACAACCAAAATAAAATAAATTAGTGTACATTTTTTATCTTCCCTGATAATGTTTGTTCATATATTCTACTAATTAAAAAAATATCATCTATGGTAAAAAAAATCAGTATCATACACTTAAAAAAAGATTTAAATCTATGTCATAGCCATTATTTTATGAGATGTTCAAATAATGAATAATGATTTGAGTATTTGACTGTTTCGGTTGTAATAATGTAATTGTAAATCAAATATTGTTTAGAATTAATTCTTTAATTTTATTTTAAGAGATTTAAAGTTGTATTTATAATTAATCAAATATAATTGTTTTTAAGAAGAAAAATATGACCACACCAGGAGATATTAACTACATTTGGGTAGAAGAAATATTCACTAAATCTGAATCTGTAAGTTAGATCAATTTATACCAATGATTATAATTAAGACTAACATATCATAAGCGTGCGCACAGGGTAGTCAGGGTAGGCACTTGATCACTCTGCAAACTTTTTCTCCTCAATATTCAATATCATTATAATATCTGAGCATCATCTTATTTATCTTATTCTAATTTCTACTACTATTAGTGGCAAATATACAATGTAGCCAATGTAATAGGTTTACATACATATGTGTGCAGTGTGCACCCTACTGGTAATGTCTGGGTGACGCTTATGACTAACATAATAGTTTATTACAATTTATACAATAATAATGACCAGAGCCCAGAATTATATGCATTTTCATGTTAGTACATACCGTATGCACATCCATGGAAATTTAAAATGTCGACTAATAATAAATCATACCAAATGGTAGTAGGTATATACATTTTGCGTACTTGGAGAATTATTGCATATTCTTTCATAAATACTTATAACATGCATATTATTCAAGCTTTTTAATAAACTTACATATTAAATTGATAATTAGTCAATTTTACTGAAGTAAAAAATTGTTGACATTGTTTCTCAGAATTATATTCTGTTAAAAATTGAAATACTGTTATGTGCGCCACACTAGGCGAAAATATAACTTTGATGAGTACAGAAAATATGGAGAAAATGGAGGAATATATAGTTATTTAATGTAATGAAAACCATTAAAACTATTTTTATTTTTAAATTTAAATTTTACACTGACTAATTTTAAAGCTTATAATTTATAATTGTTGAAAATAATGATTTTTTAGAAAGTTTTTTTGAGAGTCTTAAAAGATTTACAATATTTACAGAAAATTTAAGTTTTTTAAAAAGTTGTTATTCCCTTGTAGAAAAATCTACAATAATGAATTTAATTTAATTTAGTATTAGTATAATATAATACATAAAATAGGTGATTGCATATTTTGCCTCTTTTTATAGATATGAATATTTATATTATATTTGAAAATTTTTAAATGCATAGAATTCCGTGCTTTAATAATKACATAAAGTATCATACAAGGGATTTTATTGATGTTTGTTTTTGAAACTGGCAGGTAATTTTTCATAAGATGCAGAATATTATAGAAAACATGAAGTATGTATTAGAGTTAAAATCAAAAATAAGCACTTCTGAAGAACAAAGAATTAAGTTACAAGAGTATGTAAAAACATTAAAAAATATGATTCATAAATCAAGTCACTTCCCTGCTTTGATTTCAAATATTAATAGTGAGTTGAATACAGTTTAAATAATCAGACCCCCCACATCATATTTTTAACCCTGGTATAGAAGTAAATCTGGGGCCCCTCTTAAATAACAATTAATTTTGAAACATTTTTCTGATATATATTAAAGTAATTATTTGCATGAACGTCRGGCCCCTCGAAAGTCTGGGCTCCAGTACCATGGTTATTCCTATTTCTGACCCCCCCCCCTCTTGTAGGAGCCTTATAAGTAATATATTAATATAACATGATAATATCAATCAAGTATACATATAATATGTATATTTTAATACCAATGTAATGAAATTAAACATTTATTGATTTTACACTCAACTTTATTAAAATGATAATTGGTTTTCGATATAGATAAAAATTTTAAGTATACTAAATAGATACCTAACCTATATTTTAAACTTGAATATTTCTAAACCCTTAGATCATT